CTCAAGCCAGGATCATGAGAAGAAGTGGAAGTAAGACAGCCAGTTCATGGATAAAGGGACTCACACCATTCACAACCAAGGACTCGTTGTACCGGGGTGCTCTTTCACTTCATTTCACCGTTGGAACCCCTTTTTGCACTTTCATTTACATTTCTTTTTCTCTTTTTTTTTTCTTCATTCACTTGGCGGGGGTTCCAACTGCAGTCTTTTGCACGGTCGACCCTTATTAGTCGAGCAAGAGCAATTTTTGTACACCTAGCGCTCGCCAGGGTACTTCTTTTAACTTCTTTTCCTCAACTCGTGTGGAGGTTCAATGAAATTAAGGAGGGTCGGAAGCTCTATCTGTGCCCTTAAAAACACATCCTCGAGTAGGAAAAACGTTCAACGGGTGGAAGTTTTACCTGTACTGGAGACAGCTTAGCTTCACCTTGTAGGAGTACCCCACTAAGGATCACTAAAATCACCTCCAAAACCCGATTTTGTGCAATGAACGGTGCCGCACACGTTGGGCTTACCCCATGTTTAAGATTTTTGATGATTTCGACATGGAGTACCAACTGCTTTTCATTTGCCACATGAGCACCCTGTTCAATACACGAGTCCATAACACAATTCAAACAGAGTCCACATTACCACATGAATTCAATGGTCTTAGCTCCACTAATTCACAAAATCAACATACACAGCAGAGAGCTAGATAGGAAAAATCTTATACTTCAACATCCTCCATAGTGCTACACTACCTCCCTAGGTTGCACATTACTATAGATACTGTTAATTCAAAGCATACTGAGCAGGCAATTTGCAAGGAAACGCGTACTTGGAGCCCTCAAATTTAAAATAAAATTTGTACAATGGACTAAGCTCCAAGCACACAAACAACCAAACATTCACCCGCTTACATAATCGAACATCCCCTCACACTTAAGCAGGACATTGTCCTCAATGGAGGAAAGATAACGAGGATAGAACGAAGTTACTAGATCAAGGGTGAATAATGAAGGACGGGGCAGGCAGTGCATTCCAGGAAGAGAGAGTAATCAGAACACAAACACCACACAAAATCTCACAAAGGTTGAGTTATTGACTCTAAAATCAAATAAAAAAACTGACTCAACCGAGGAGAAATAGTGAAAGAAATTCAAACCGACTGGTTGGGTTGCCTCCCAACAAGCGCTTCTTTCACGTCGTGAGCCGGACGATGGCTCCTAAGTTTCGGTCCATGCTAGAACCTCCTTGAAGTTGAGGTTCTCGTCAATGAGGTGGAGTCGCAAGTCACGAGCATGTGGTATGACTGGTTATGGAAGCTCGTGCACTTGATGCAGATGAAGGCTCCATCCTCGAGACCTCTTATTCTCTTCTCTCGTCCCATTGCCCCAAACCAGATATGACAGCATCGATTGGCCACCATCGCGTCCACCAAGAGGGACCGATGTCGATGTGGCCTTGGTTTGGCAAAGAGACACTGCAAATGGGTCCTTGCTAAGCAGTTCCTCGAAGTTTGGTGGGGATATTACTTGTATTATAGGGCCGGTGCAAGCCTCTTCCACCTCAACTTCATCCTCAGCCTGGACACCACTCGCTTCTTCAACCCCCCTTCCTTCTTCAAAATGTGGTCTCTCTCCTCGGAAAAGATCAAGAACTACCTCTTCCTTGCTTTCTTCCTCATCCTCCACAACTTCTTTCCTCACCCTTTCTCTCTCTTCTTCTTCCATAACTGATTGGAGAGCAAGTCTCCATGCATCTCCTCGCTCGGGCCCAGCATGTCAAAGCGGAAATGGGGAAAGTTGTGATCTACCACCAGAGGATACACTTGATCATGATTATCATGGGAGCTTTCCTTAACAACTTCTGTATGCTCCTCAACATCCTCATGATTGCCTTCTTCTTCCTCCACCTCTACTTGTATGGCAGCATAAAGGTTGTCTTGAGAAAACTGTGAACAGGCTTTCTCAATGACCTCTATGTGCTCCTTTATGCTCCGAAGGGTATCCTCTGTTTCACGGGGAAATGAGAAGTCAGTTTGGGCAATGGCCTGGATATGAGGATCCATCTCGAGAAAGGATCTCTCAGGTACTCGAGCAATCTGCTCCACGAGAAGCCTCAAGTGATAGTTTGGATCTGGCTGTGGAGTGTAACATAGCTCTGCCGGATCGCTCGTGAAGGCTGTGGCGAACCCAAGATCTGATGGTCCTTCTTGTTGTGGGATGAATTCTTCTTGATAAGGAGATTGTTCTTGAAATACCCAGGGGTCTGATTGTTCTTCGTAATAGGGGGGTTGGTACTGAAACCCGACTCCATAGTCTTATCCTCCTTGGTTACTCCAGGGAGTCTCGGGGTAATACCACTCGGATGGTGGTGGATACCCCCAATGGTTGGAGAAGCCATTAGGATCCATGATTCAGATCTGCACCAACAAAACAAAAAAACACCCAAGTGAAAAGCAACGGCGCCAAAAACTTGACACGCTAAAACACAACACCTAACAATGGCCAAGTGTAACCAATGAAAGGGACTGCAGTATAGTAGCACAAGTAATAAATATCGAATCCACGGGTCTCTAGAGTTACTATTACTCAGCTTCAGTTCATTATCTAGCAAACTAGATTAAGGATTGATTTATAAACTACTCTACTGACTACTTTACTAATTACAAGTTGGGAACTCACTTAGGTATGATTCCCCCTAGCTCCTCAACTAGGTCCAAGTAGCAATTACTTTTGGTTGGTCTACTGTTGATTAAACTGCGGAAGATCCTAAATTAGCTTGGAATCTCTTAAGCTGACCAAGCCCTCTTAGACAGAATACCCGGCAGGCGACTAGCCTTCACCGGGGTAGACTGCTAAGGCGATTCACACAAATCTCCACTACTGGAATGAATTCCAGTACAAAGCAGTGAATTGAGTGACTCTCGCACAACCAATTCACCACTATCAATCAAGGAAGCTCTCTTAACCTAATCAGATTCTATCTATCATAGGTTAAAGCATAAATCAAGAGAAGATGATCAAGCTTCAATTGAATCTATAAATCATGCCTCAATCGATTATAATCAAACAACATAGCATCCAAAACTTCATACAAGAATGATCCTAACACATGGAACTAGGGTTCCTCAAAACCTAAGTGAAGGGAGGTTACTCCATAGAGAAGAGAGAGACTGCAGAAATCTAATCTAGATCTTCAATCTCCATCTCCAAGCTTGATTCCCGAACTCCAATGGCAAAGAAATCCTCCAAAATAGCTCCAAGAATGTTCCCAAGTCTCTCTCTCTCTCTCTCTCTAGGGTTCGTCCCTTGGGTGTTTGGGAACCAAAACCCCCGCTCTCCCCTTTCCTTTTGCTGAAAATCGGGTTTTAACCAAAAATTCCCGATCACACGGCCAGGCCACACGGCCGTGTGACTTTCCCAGATGCCCGTGTGAGGGCTCGGTGATTTCCACACGGCCACATGGCCAGGTAACACGGTCGTGTGTGTTTTTAGGCGTGCCCGTGTGGCTTGCTCAGCCTCTGTTTAATGCTTCGTTTCTCCCTCGTCCGGACTCTGAATCAGTCGCTGTTTGATCCCAGATGCTCGTAGTCTCGTCCTCTTTCTTTTCATGACAAAATTCCATGATTATTTGTACATAATATGAGATAGAAGTCCATTATTCCTCAGGTCATGCTCGTGTTTCTTCTCCCGAATTGCCGAATGATCTCTGATTGACTTCAAACTTGAGCCTATGCTTCAATTTACATGCTAGGACCTGAAATGTGACAAAGGAACACAAACTAGCATAAAATAGGCCAAAGAAGCGATAATGCAAGCTTAAACGATCAAGAAACAAAGGGGAAAACATGTGCAAATATCGAGTCATCACTCACCTACCAATTTCTCTCTCTCATCTCACAGTTCTCTTCTTCCTCATCTTTTTCTCTCTCGTCCGCCATTGAAGACTAGAACCAAGAACAACATAAATTTGTAGAAAGAGGTTTTAGGGTTTACGATCTAGCTGGGTCTGTCATGCTATATCTATCCTTCGAGGAGAAGAAAAAGATAGCAGAGGAAGATCGTATGTCGAAGTTGGGAGACAATGTCGAAGGAGATGCACCAGAAGCGGTCGATCTTGAAGATAGGTCGACTGATGTCAACAGAGGTAATGTCGAAGGAGATGAATCATAAGGGGTTGACCTTTCTAATACCATTCTCAAAGCCGATGGTTCATCTGATGGTTTGTGGGGCTCGCAAGATTGGATGGCTGTAGAGGATGAAATAGAAGTGGCTCATCTGATGGTTTGTCGAGAGGGACGACCGGTAGGATGGGTGGGTCGTTGTGAGGAGACGGGGCGGTGGATTGAATAGATGGGCCATGAGGAGGCAAGGTTGGGGAGTGAGGGGAAGGGTCGAATACGGGTGAAGGGAGAGGTAAGGGGGAAACTAGTGGGTCATTATTGAGTGTAGCAAGCTAAGATGTTAGCGATGGAGGGGTAGGAGTGAGTTTGGTGAAAGGAAAAGTCTTCTCATCGAAAACAACATGACGGGAATGATAAACGCGACCAGAGCGAGTTTCGAGGCAGAGGTAAGCACTCTGGGTCGGACTATAACCTAAGAAGACACAAGGTTATGATCGAGGTTCAAGCTTGTGAGAGGAATATGAGAGAAGGAAGGGGAAGCAAAGACAGCCGAACACACGTAGCTTACGATAGTCAAGGTTAGAGTGAAATAATATGGAGTAGGGAGATTGATGGGACAAGAGAGGAGTGGGGAGTTTATTGATGAGATAGACAGTCGTACAGAACACATATGTCCAATAAAGAGCCGGGATTGAGGCTTGATGCAATAAGGAGAGGCTGATTTCAACTAGGTGACGATGGCGGCGTTCAGATATGTCGTTATGTTGAGGAGTGTGAGGGGGAGTGGTGAGGTGAGTGATGCCATGAATAGATAGGAGGGAGTTTAGTTTGTCATATTCACCCAAGCCGACAATGTCAGACGTCGCCTGAGGCGCAAACACTAACTAGAGCACGAGGGATGACTTTATTGGGAGGGAAACCGAGAAATTCGTAGACGCAATGTTTAGCGCACCCCCGAAGAAAAGGAGTCTTGGACGGCTGTGATTTGACAACAAACGAGGTAGGAAATAATTCAAACGAAGCTTGGTTAGAGGCAAAAAAATTGGAGGCGGAAATAAGATTTTGTGATATCGATGGTGAGCAAAGGACATTATGAAGGGAAAAGTTACGGGTGGGAAGGATAATGACATGGAACGAGTGTGAGATATAGGCAAACCTGTTCCGTCACCAATGGCGATGGTGTCAGGGTCGGCAATGACGTGGTGAGAGTTTGCCGAGTCAAGGAACCAGGAGGGAGTGTTGGCCGTAGCATGGGCTTGCGGCTAATTGGGACGGAGTTCCGGGTGGATTCGGTAGCACGTCTTCGCTGTATGACCCATGCACTGACAATATTGATAGATGGGTCGGCCGGAAGACGACGGTGTTGCAAATGATGAGGTTGGTCGTGGTCCCTTGGGCATGGGGCCAAGAATAGAGGCAGGACGAGGGTTGGTGCATTGTCGTTGGTGGCCGCCAGGAGAGCCTCGTGGCTGTCGAGCAGTGGAGTGAGCGAGGGGTGAGTGAGACATGGCGGCAGAGCGCTGTAGGTAATCATCATAGCTGGCTAGCTTATCATAGAGCTCATCGAAGGTGGGTGGAGTGTCACGAGCACGGAGGGCAACAACAATCTCCTTGAAATTCGAACCAATTCCGTGGAGGGTGTGAATAACAAGATCCATGTCGTGACAGGATCCCTGATGAGAGCAAGCTCACTGGCGCTCGCCTTGATGGACAAGAGGTATTCTGAAACAAATTGATTGCCATGGGAGGCAGCAAAAAGTTGGTCACAGAGAAGCATGGCGCGAGAGTGGGAGCGGTTGGCATACAGACGTTCCAGATTGCTCTAGGCTTCGCTGGCGGTGAGGGCAACATCAATTTAGGGCATGAGAGTATCGCCGACGGAGGCCAGAATGGCATGAAAGATGAGGCGGTTTTGACGATTCCAGTGCTTGTAGGATTCAAACGTCTTGTCTGCCGGAGAAACGCTAGATGCCGTCGATGTGGGATAAGATATCATATCCAAAGAGCAATGATGTGAATTGGGACTTCCAAGAGGAGTAGTTGGGGCTAGTGATTCAGACTGTGAATTGAGAGCCCACGTTGAAGGAAGTAAGAGGTGGATTGGAAGCGCTGCCGGAGGAAGTAGGATTTGGCGTCGATGAGATGGTGGAAGACATTGTGGAAGAGAAAGAGGGAAAATAAGATTTTGCAAAGGTTTTGACAGGGATGGAGAGTCGTGGAATAGAAGAGAGACCTTGTTAGAGGATTTATAGGGATGCTCTGATTCCATATAGAATAACGGAGGAGAAAGACTTGATCTTGATTATTAGCTTTAGAAAGAATATATATACAGAGACGTAAACATGGATCGTGCAACGGTAATTAACAAAACATGAGAGAATACAGAAAGGTGGGTGTACGTAGTTGGGCTAGTTGTGTTGACGAGGTAAAGGCGGTGGGTTGTTACTCTTAATAGTACCATCACAGATTTCAGTTGATTTTTAGAAAGACCATTTTACTTGGATTTTGAAGGCTACATATCACATATTTGGACTAAGGCTATTATTCACCGTAAATTAAGTCTATTAAGCACCAATTTGGACGGGTTTTTTTCGGGATCAATTCTGGCAGATTCCAAAGGGGCACGCACCATCACAGATTTCAAGAGATTTTTGAAAAGGCCATTTTCGTTAGATGATGAAGGATGCATATCATGGACTTGGGATGGGGCTATTCTCCACCAATGATAAAGTCTATTGGTCGTCGATTTGGGTGGAAAAATTTCGAAGAGCATTTTCGTAATTTTTGGCGATTTTTTGGAAAAGCTATTCTTCTTGGATTTTGAAGGATACGGATCACGGATTTGGTCTGAGTAGGGATGACAATGGGCTGGGTTAGGTTGAGTTTTATGAAACCGAACCCAATCCCATGGGTATATCCACCAAAAAAACTCGGGGTAAAATTCATTGGGTTTGGAAAACTCAAACCCAACCCGCTAGGTATCCGCGGGTTCATGGATACCCATGGGTTCTATAAAAGTACAATAACATCATGTCAAAATAGAAGTCTGACATCAACCTTCTCATACAAATTATTCGTACAAAAAAAACCAATCTAAAGCATACAAGCAAACCACATATTATCCATTAAAATTATGCAATACTGAAGATAAACATTCATAAACAACATAATTAATTGTAAGCTTCTTCCTCCTTGTCAGCTAAGCCTTTTCACTCTCCACTTCTTAATATCAATTCATTCTATAAAATTAGGAAGAACAAATTAGACAGGTAGGTAGGATATGGTTAAACTCGAACTCAATCCAACCCGCCAAATTAATAGTAGAATGGGTTTAAACCCGAACATAATTCACAATCCATCAAAATAAATTTTATCTAATTTGACCGGATTGAATCGAGTAGGATATCATGGATGGGATTATGTTGCCATCCCTACCCATGAAGATAACTTGGGAGCTGAGAGATGTCCCAAAATCGATGCCCGCCCGCACATCGCAAAGTCCCAACCCCACTTCTTTTCAGAAGACTCCTAATTTCCCCTGCCATGCCCATGACCAATGATCTTGTCCTCCAATTTCTGGGCTCAAATATTATTGTAACTAGTCTCCTTCTTACTTACTACCACTTCCCTTTTACGTACTTTTGTACTTTGGTCGGCTTATCCTCAATTTCTATGACTATATAATATCATTACTCACTACCCTTTTCGACTCTATCAGTACTGTTTCTACTTTCAGGTATGGTATGGACTCTCTCTCTCTCTGTCTGTGGTAGTGGGTTAACGTTGAAATAGTTGATGTTCTTGTTGTTGCATGTTAGTAGTTTTCATTATCCTTTCTCTGCATTATACGCCTTTAGTGGAAGACAAAGGTCAAATGCTTTATTGGGATGGATGGGGGCATCATCAGCTTTTCTCTGTTTCCACCTGTTCGTGTGGGAGCTCAGTTTTTGCAGGACTGCCCATTCTTCCAACAACTAAGACGCTGCTACCCATAATCCCATCAAAGCTGATGAGAACATATGTTGCCCCTCAACGGATCTGTCCCTTTTGGAATCTCTTTCATGTTCCTGTTTTTGTTTATCGATTTCCTTGCGTTAATAATGCTTAACCCAAAGGAGCGGCAGTAATATTGCATTAGCTAGCCAAGGTTTGAGCTACGTACGTTGTATCATTTCGAGTAATACAGCACTGTTGCATGTTTCGATTTCTGTTGAGCAATGGTTTGTAATCTTATATTTTACCATATTGGATTAGGATTAGGTTTTCTGGAGAAGTACGGTATATACTTCTCACTCTCTCTGTAATCTGTATCTTCTCAAGTATATATAGTGAAACTGGCTTGTTTTCCCACTCGTGGACTAGCTAACATACGTTGTGTTAATGAACCACGTAAATTTGTGTGTTATTTACTTTTTTGCATCGTCGATTGTCCCAAATCATTCTAACTAGTGGTATCAAATCCTGGTTCGGTTTGAATTCGGGACACTGGACGTTAGTTTGGTGGGATCCTCATTCAGGTGAACTCGGGATTTGAAATATGTTTTTGTTTGGCGGATCAAGGGAGATTTGCTATGTCTGGAAGATCAAATGAGATTTGTATGTGGTAAAATCCTTGTATCAGAGTGGTTGTCAATACAAGGTGTCTGGCATATCAAGATAATCGTTGTGAAGAGAACACAAAGTTCCTTGTTCTTGTCTTGAGGAAAGGATTGGTGTGAGGCAATCCAAATACCACATTGGTAATACAATTGGGAATGAACTATTGTACATAACATTAGTGTCTAACTATTCCAATTAGTATGAGCCTTTTTGGAGAGGATACCCAAAAGTATAATCGTGCAAATTCGATCCAAAGAAGACAATATAGTACTAATTGAGCTAAGCGATCTCGACACTACTACACGGAACATTGAAACAAGTACTTGGGTCTTCCTACGCAAGTAAATGAGAAGTACTTGGGTCTTCCTACGCAAGTAAGAAGAGAAAATAAGGTTGATTTTGGGAATCTTGTTGTCAAAGTACGAAAGAAAGTTATGAAGTGAAAATGTTAGTCTCTGTCAAATCAGCAGAGAAAGTTATGATCAAATCTATCGCTTAGGCTCATACCGAAAACACCATATGTTTGTTTTCGTAGTACCAATTGGGATTGTGCAGGAAATACAGAGGATCATCTCTGGATTTTGGTGCGGACAAAAGAGGGATGAGAGGCGAATACCTTGGTTGAAGTGGGAGACAATATGTTTGCCGAAGGAGGAGATTGGGTTTTGATTTTGAGACTTGAGAGACACTTTAACCTATCTTTGTTAGGAAAGCAAGTTTGCAATCTAATGCAACATCCTAATACACTAGTAGCAAGACTTCTAAAGACTAAGTACTATCCTCATTCGACCATTTTTAGCAAAAAGGAAGGGAATAATCCTAGCAACTTGTGGAGAAACTTAATGGCAGATAATGATACGTTTAATACTGGAATGAGGTGGAAGATAGGGAAGGGGGTGGAGGCCACAGTTTGGTGGGAAGAATAGCCGCCCATTGTAAGAGATGAAGGTGGCTGAAGGAAGCCAGAGAGGCGAAAGTCGGGATAGAGGGAGAAGAAAGAGAATTTTTATTTTATTTTCTAAAAAATGTAATTTTTCCACTAGTTCATTATATAAAACATATTTTGTTGTTGTTTTTGTGTTTTCAAATTTATCTTAATGGCTTGCAATCACGATGGTTTCCCAGATGGGGTATTCGTGAGGAACTGTTCTTGTCTTTTTTATAATGGTGATGGTTGGATTGAAATAAAACAAACAATGTCAATAAAAAGAGAAGAAAGAAAAACGGCAACACAAGAGGTTCTGGCCATAAAGATAGAGGAGAAAAGGGTACTAGGCAAACCAAAAAACCCCCTGCACCCCCGAGACAAGGTGAAGAAGAACAAATAAATCAAAATGGGAACAAAAATAAAGAGAAGGACATCGAAATAGCCAACGCAAGCGAGGTGGACATCCCAGCCATAATTCTCAAGAGCTAAAACGAAAGCAGTCATTCATCCCTACAACAACCTTTAACAACCGACAGCAAAGGGGGGCAGCTAAAAAACATAAGGTTCTTCAATCGCAGCTGAAAAGCCCAGGCATGACTAGGAGGTCTAATGCAGCAAGAAGTGCCATCAAGAAGCCACCAATAGCGACCAGAAGCAGACGAGGATCGTCTTGGTCAATGGCGGTCAGAGCAAAGGCAGAGAGTGATCATAGCACGATCTAACCAATCTGCACAAGACTGACCGGCTCCGTACAGGGACCGTACAAACTGGCTTCACGAACAGCCTCGAGCAGCAGCAGATAGGCCGCAAGGAAACCATCGCTCAATCAACAACATGCTACAGGTGGATGGCCTGTGAGATAGGATCATGAGGCCTGCTGACCTTGTCGTGACCGGCAAGCCACTCCAAAACAGTGTTGATCGTGTTGTGAGCAATGACTGCGGAGGGCCACGAGCTGTCGATGAAAATTCTTTGATTTCTCTTAATCCAAATCTTCCAGCAGGTGGCATGGAGGATGCAATAGGTAATCCAGTCATTAGTGTTATCTGGTTGAATGCTTTTCCATCTTCGGATAATAGTGAGGATGTCGATCTCAGGTGGTGTGATGTTGTTGTGGAACTTGCAGATATCAGATAGACAAAAATGTGATCAACCGTTTCTTCGCTGCTGAGGCACATGGTACATCTGCTGGCTATCGGCCACCCTCGCTTCTTGAGATTGTCAAGGGCAAGGATTTTCTTGTGTGCAACAGTCCATACGAAAGCACAGATTTTGGAGGAGATGATCTTTCTCCAAACCGATTCAGAAGGGAAGTTGGAGATTCCTTGATACTGCAATCCTGCCAAAGCCCTGTAAATAGAATTAATAGTAAAAGAAGAATCGTTAAGGGACAACCAAACATGCTTGTTCGGTCTGCAAGCTCCCCGTAAAACATCAGAGTTATTAAGAAATTCCAAAAGAGAAATTCTTTCCCTCTCAACCCCCCTCTCAAATTATGGTTCAAATCAATATTCCACTTGATAGTGTTACATGTGAGCTCTGCAATGTCGGAGATCAAGGCATCGGGAGAGGAGGCAACTGCGTCGACTCACGGGAGCGCATCTCCGATGGTCGTGTTCAATATCCAGCAGTCTCTCCAAAAAGAGACCCAAGCGCCTCCATAGGGGTCAATATTGGCGAACTTCCAGAATGAGTCGTACTCTTTTGTGATGTTAGACCATTTGCTGGTCTGTCAAATTGGAGAGTCGTGAGGATACTTAATCTTAATAAGCTACTTCCGCCAACTGTCTCTTTCTGTAGTGAATCTCCAGATCTATTTGGAAAGCATGATGGTGTTGAAACTCTTCATGTCAATGATCCCCTGCCCAACTTTGTCCTTAGCAGCCTTGCAGAGGTACCAGCAAACAAGTGATGGCTTCTGACTTTCACCTGTGCGGCTGTGCCGCTCCCAATGAAATTCCTTTGGATTTTCTCGAATCGGTTCAACACTTTGATGGGAGCTTTCAGAAGAGAGAAATAGTATGTTGGTTGACTGGACAAAATTGATTTATTGAGCACTAACCTGGCACCGAAAGAGAGGTGGTGGTTCTTCCAGCCTTCGAGTCTCTTTTCGTACTAGTCAACTACTGTATCCCAAGTTGAAACATCATTAACTTTTGCACCAAGGGGGAATCCGAGGTATTTGAACGGTTCGTTGCTCCACTTGCAACCGACAATGGCAGCAAAAAAGTCTGGGACCAACTATGAACATCGCTGACTTTTCTAGATTAATTCTTAACCCTAAGAGCACTTTAAAGTAGACAAGTGTGGCCATGATGCTGAGAACTTGATCATAGGAGGCATCGCAAAAAACAACGTGTCGTCAGCGAAGAGGAGGTGAGTCACTTCCCAATTGCCGTCAGATTCGTTCATACAGAAACCTCTTATCTTTCCAGATTCTTGTAATCTATTCATCATGAATGAGAGGACATCCATGATGAGGGAGAACAACCCAGAAGAAAGCAGGTCGCCTTGTCGGAGTCCTTTCTTAGGATGGAAGTAGCCTTTGACTTCACCATTGATTATCGTCGAGATGACCGGGGTACACATGGTTCCGCGTATCCAGTTCTGCCACTTAGTTGGGAAACCAAAATTCGAGAGTATATTAAAGAGGGAGTTCTAACTCACATTGTTGAAAGCTTTTTCGATGTCTACCTTGAACATGAGACCCGGTTTTCTGCTCTTTCTGCAACTGTCTTCTCTATATCTCAATCTGAGTTAATAATGTGTCTTTTTGCTCCTGTGAGCTTTATAGAGCTGCTGACCTAGTAGTGGCAAAAAATGATCTTTCATCGGCAATCCGATTGCATACGGAGTATCATTCTTTATTATTATCTGTCCTACATATTTCTTGTCCGGTTATGCCCTGAGTCTTATCTTGATTAAAATAAAATAAAAACTAAAAAAATGTAATTGACAAAGGGTTAACTAGTCTTTAATACTAAAAAAGAACTAATATACACTTGATGGTCACAATGACCACCACAAGTCCACAATGAGATGTGTGTATCATGAGCACTTCTACTATGCTATATAGCATTGGTGCTTTAATGTACAACTCAAAATTGTACCATAATATTAAATGTATAAGTTTAGGTTGTACCATAAAACAATTTGTATCATTATGTTATGGTACAACTTTACAACTTGAAGTTGTACCATCACGTAAAGGTACAAGTTCAAGTTGTACCATAAAAGAATTTTTACAAAAAGTATAGGTACAATCTGAAGTTGTACCATAACGTAAATGTACAATTTTAAGTTGTACCATAAAGACAAAAACCTATAGTACCAATACTATATAGCATTGTAAAATTTCTCGTGTATCATATCCTCTGCCAATGTAGTCCCGTTGATCAGTTTCACACCAGACGAAGGAAAGTTTGATTTGGTTTCTCAATTAGAGCTTCCCAGTTGTCAACTTGATGCAAGGTATATTCTCTGCAAAATGAAGGCAAAATGGCAATAGGAGCCTTACTTCATTGTAAAAAAAAGCACCTTACTTGCCCTTTGCGAACTCATTTTTGGTGCAATTTGCTATTTTGCGACCCTTTCTTCCAAAAAAAATAAATACAATTTAATATCCAAACCTTTCATTTTAAATAATATAATAGCCAAACCTTTTCGAAAACAATCTAATATCCAAATCGTCAACTTTCCGTCCGTTTGACCGTTAGTTGACACTTCAAAAAAGTTTTGTTTAGGGGAAATTGTCACAATACAACTTTGTTTTTTTGTTTTAGCAATGCAGATGACTGAATATTTAGATATTCTATACCATCATGGTGGAGTCATGGACTTCTCGGGGTTGGAAACACGATATGTTGGTGGTTTTTCAGTGAAGATATCGATGGATATTGATGAAGTTTCAACTAACGGTCAAACGGACGGAAAGTTCACGATTTGGATATTAGATTGTTTTGGAAAAGGTTTGGTTATTATATTGTTTAAAATGAAAGGTTTGGATATTAAATTGTATTAAAAAAATGTAACTTCACACTGTTTGAAAAGGTGGATGTTTTGACAGTTGTCCTCGGGGAAAAATAGATAGAAATTTTATGGAATTCCAAAAACAAACCATTTCAAAGTCATTGACTCATTGTGTTGGCTTTAACACAACTAGATCAATAATTCGTTACGTTACTGTAACCAGAATAATAACTTAATCCTATTATGGATACCACACCAAATTCTTTTGCTGTTGTTGTAATTTTATGTTAAAATTTTGCTAAATAGTCCGTGTGCATTTGGAGATAAAAATATATAACTTACATAACGTATGTTTTTATAGATTTGAATGGATGATGGGTTTAACTTGACAAGCAGGCCAAAAGTTAAGCAGAAAAGGAGAGGAGAGAAGAGCATCAAAAGTTAAGCAGAAAAGTTAAGCAAATTGAGAAGAAAAAAATTAGATGAGATTTTTGAGATTTATTTTACAAAAGATATTGATCCAAACAAATAGATAGTTACATTCTGAAAATCAGTCAAGTCTGGAAATCAAAGAAGCGACTCACAGTCGAATATAAAGAGAGGGCTTTCCTAGCTACCGAGTGAGCTACCCTATTGTTCTCCCGACCTATAAATCGCACACTAAACCTAGGATGAGCGTGAAAATAATGACCTATCTCCTCTAGAACAGCACCCAACCTGTTGTCCCTTGTGTTGGCTTGATTAATATTATCAATGATTACTTTCGCATCGCCCTCGAACCGGACCACCGACAAGCCACACTCCAAACACCAAATAATAGCCTCCCGAAGCACAAGCAATTCCACCACTATAGACTCATCCATTTGAGGAAACTGAACCCCCCTCGCCATAAGGATCATTCGTGCCGGATCCAAAAGAACCATCCCACCAGCCAAATGCGACCCACTCCTAGTGGCCCCATCCCACATACAAACCAATCGTGAATCACTCACTTGGGTCACTGGCTGTACCAACGGGAGAGTCACCCTAGGAGCCTGGTCAATTGGAAAGCCCACCCATTCCTCATATTGCTGGTTAAACTGGCGCATAAGCGCAGGGATCCCAAACTGTCTTCCTTCAAAGACAACCCAGTTACGAGACCGCCAGATCCGCCAAAGGATGGCAACAACAGCCATGAACAACGACGGTTGATGGATCAACGACAGCAAACGTTTGAGAAATAATGGGAAAGTGTGCCGAGGCAAACCCTCCCCCAAGTACTCCCGTCCTGAATAGTCCTACAGAGCCCGCGCAACCGGGCAATAGAAAAACAGATGTTCCATCGTCTCCGGGCTATCCCAGCAAACCGGACACCGGGGAAGCACAATGACCTTTTTTTTCAATGAGCGCCCCAGTAGTTGTGTAACATCCCGTTACGGCAAAACCCATATTTCGATCGATAGAAAATTTCACGATTTAAAATCGAGCATTTCGACACTATTTCGACAAAAATCGGATTATCAATCGATCGGATAAGTATACGTATTAATTATATATATATATTAATTAAGCGGTCGGCATATATATATAAACCCTTTCCCCCGTCACTTTTATTCTCATCACCATCATCATTTTTCCATTTCTCCACCGAGAAAGAACCGAGAGATAGTTTGAGAAACAGGGCGCGCAGGGGAGAGCAGGAAAATTTCCGTAGCTCGATTCTTGAGTTACACTGATCCAAAAATTCCGTAAGTAATGCCTAATTCATCTATATATCGTGATTTATCGATTTAGAGTTTTAAAACGAGTTTTTTGTTCAGGAATTTCTTGAATTCCCGATAAGCCAAATTAGGGTTTTCGAGTATCCGGAAGCCGGATTGAGCCAAAATTTCATATACGAGCTTCCTACAGCGAGGTAATCAATCCTCTAGTTCTAATCCCTGAATTTCGGCTATTATTTAGATCGGAGCAGGGATCGCTGAATTTAGCTCCGGCCAGGTTTTGATGTGTTTTTATCAAGAATTTGACCCGGAGCCCAGAACTAATATTGACGGGGATACTGCAGGGGATATTAGGACGGTCTCGGATTTTAATTCGGGGTTCGTTCATGAAATTGATGTTTTAGTACGGGAAGCTAAAATCGGTGTTTGAACGACCAGAACTGGTGAGGGATTAGCACGGCATACCGGGTTTGTCGTATCACGATAATTATATTGATGCTTAGAATTGACCTAGGTGAACTAGAATGGCATGATTAGGGGTGTATGGACTTTTATGCTATATGATGAACCATGGATTGTTGTATGATATTATTGACTTGCCCTAGCCGATATGAACCTTGTTTATGTTGATGATTGCATACATGTTGCCATTTGTGGCTTAACCGTTGACATGACTTCATGGCTGTTCGATCAGGTGTTTTGACATGATGTGATATTGTGGTTGTTTTTGGATTCACAAGTGGGGGAAATAAACTTCCCAGGGTGATATTATGATGTTTAAGGAGGATGACTTGCACGAGGGTTTATCCCGAGGAAGTGCAATTATACGACTCCTGATTTACCTATGTTGAGCCAATTATGGCCAAGTCAAGTTCATGTGCAAGTAATGAATTATGATTAAGCAAGATGAGATATGAATCATGTGTAAGGATACCAAATATGAGTGTTGTGGTCTCACGGTCAACTACATAGTAATTAGGGCTCCCTATGCTATTACTCTATTATGATATGTATGATAGTCACACCTCTCATGTGGTGGTGACTGAAGGATTCTCACGAGATATGACCACACCTAGAGTGGTGTCGGGGTATGACTACACCCATAGTGGTGTGGGGTATGTAGGATCACATCCGACGGGATGTTGGGGTATGTATGACTACATCCGACGGGATGTGGGGTATGTTTCCCGGGAGAGTTATTAGCATGGGAGTAGCCAGGCGCCTATTATTAAAACATGATAAGAAGCATATGCATAAGTCAAGGTGGTTGAGTCTTTTGCCTATTGGGACATGAGGATGGCTGAGGTCTGATCCTAGTGTTTTGGCTTAATTGTTAGATGTATGATAGGGGTATGCTATGTTATGAACTCACGATGCTATGATTATCTCACTTAGCTATGAGCTTACCCTCTTTTATTCTTCTTCTCTGCTTATGCTATGTGTAAGCAGATCATAAGCAGCAGTAGTAGATAGGTGTATAGGTGGGAGCTGAGCAAGAGTTGAAGGCAAGATGAGGTATGGTCTTCAACTAATCTGTGCTTGGACTACTACTCGGGATTTTGGCCAGTAATCCACACCTTTTTGTAAAAGAATGTTTTGAGAACGTTTTTCATGTGCATACTAGCTTCTGATGTAGTGTGAGATATCCACAGGTGTGAAAAGTTGATTGTATGTGTATATTTTTGTAATTATGTAAGTTGTGACGATTATGGCTTGTATCAGTATAGTATGCAGTTGTGTAGCATGAAACTGTGACTATGGCTATGAAAAGCCAATGCATATGGTTGTGAGTATATATGTTTGTGATGAATTATTTTGCAGGATAAGTTGCAAGAACTGTTAGTCCATTACGCGAGTAATTCATGTCAAAATTTTATTTGGGTAAATTTTGATAATTAATGTAACACCCAATTTAATTCCGCTGCAATTGTATGAACAATATGATTAGGCAAAACGTATAGGGTCGGGTGTTACAAGTTGGTAGAGCCCGATTAAGAATTTACCAGAACAAGACCTTCAGATTCTGAGGGATTTTAGCCTCCCACAAACGGATCCAACTTGGCCTATCCATCCAACTAACCGAGGACCGACACCCACCCCTCCTCCTGTCCAACTCAACATCCAAATGGTAAGCCGATTTTACCGAGAAGACCCCGTCTGTCGTGTTATGCCAGATAAGTTTATCAACCACATTCTGCCGCGGAAGTGGAATAGCCTTAATGGCATGGCAGGTAGAGGGGTCAAACCATTGACTAAGCTTAGCATCAGACCAGCATCCCTCCCCTTCACAAATAACCACCGCCACCGAGGGGTCACCCTCTTTTGGCAAGATCATCGGATTAAAGCGAGGGGGGTCCAACTGAAGCCCAGGAATCCAGTTAGAGTGGAGAAGAGAGGCCGATCGGCCATTTCCGACCTGCCGCCTTAAACTCATCTCCAATAGCTAGCGCCCAAAAAGGATACTCTGCCAGCCCCAAGAAGGCCTTCATCTAGCCATCGCGCCTAGGAATGTTCCTTGAGGGAAGTATTTCCCTTTATACACCTGGGCAAAGAGGGAATGAGGTTCATTGAGGATACACCAGCCAATCTTTGCTAAAAGAGTTTGGTTAAAATGTTCGAACCGGCGAAATCTCATCCCCCCATCATGTTTACTCCTGTACATATTGTCCCAGGACACTCACCTAACATTGGTATGGTCCTCATCAGCACCCCACCAGAACCAGGCCACATGTCTATCCAAAAGTCGACAAAGAGTTAGGGGTAACCGAAAACACGACATAACATGCAGGGGTAGAGCCAAAACTATTGACTTAATCAATGTTTCCTTTGCCGCCCAAGACAATGTCCTTTGTTTCCACCCCTGCAGTCGCTCTAATAGTTTCTCCTCCAAATATCTGAACGTGGCCATTTTAGACCTGCCAACCAGCGTTGGTAGCCCCAAATATTTATCATGAGATATCTAACATGCATGAAATTGTTGAAATATTTTTTAAAAATTCATGAGATATATCACCGTTCTCTTTTTATTTAAAAAAAAGATGGAGGGCCCAAAAACCTTTTGCAAGTGCAAAAGAGCCCTGATCCATCCAAATTAGCTTGTAGAACTTAATTAATTTGTCCACCTCTTTTAAAGTCTTTGAATAACGTATTTAGTTGCTCGGGAACTGGAATTGTAAAGCATAAACAGAGTTGGATCAACCGAATTAAATTATAGTCCAACTGATCATTTTAGCATAATTAACTTGTTGAAGCAACTTCCGATCGGTTACCAAGTTTTTTCCTTTTCTTTTTATGTAATTAAGTTAATCACCAAAGTATCCGTTCACATGTTTAGAGCATGCACGTGAAGATTATGAAGTCGGTCCCCAAAATTTGAATTCAGATGAAATTATTTTTATTCTGACAATTAGGAAGAGGCAAAACTTTAAAAAAATCCAAAATTCCAGATCTCATATATATATAACTTCTTCGGTTCTTCCCTCTAAACACAGCAGTTCAACTCTCTCTATGTTGGAGGAGATGGAAAAAATTGTATAAGAGAGATTGGAAAATTCACGAGAAAATTATCATTAGTAACTATTATTATTATTATAATTATTCTTATATGACATACATTGTAATGTGAAATGAAACATACACAGGCTTGCCAAAAAGGGAAGCTGATCATCATCATCATCATATGGGTTGGTGGGGAAGAGGGAGCACTTGTGATCTAGCTGTTAAGCAAGCGCTACAGTTTCAGTACTGATCTCAAACTTGGGGCCATAGATCGACTGATTAGAGAGGAAAAATCAATGCAGTAGTAGAGCCATAAAAATGGAAAAAACCCCATTAGCCCACATCTATATCGAGGGTCGAATAACCGGGTTAACTAGTAGATCCAAGAAGCAGGAAGGAAAACTGAAGTGCGAAATAGTAGTAGAAGAAGAAGAAAAAAGGCAGTACAGTAGTAGCTAGGTAGGCGAAACTAGGAAGGAAGCTAGGTGGCTAGTTGTAGTTGAGTAAGCTCCTAATGAGTGCAGCTTGAGCACTGTCAGTGGTTTCGAGCAACCCAGAGAGCCTCTCGCTGAGATCGTCCACTTCTCTGTGCAAGCTCCTGATGTAGTTGCACGTCTCCTGCAACACCTTCGCCGCCGGCACCTGTAAAATCAATCGCCACCAACGTTCAAGCTGATTAGTAACTTCTCCTTCACACAATAATGAAGTTGCTTGTAACAGAAAACATCCATCTAGCTAGCTAGCTACGAGTGCATTTTGTGTTTTACCCTTCTGAGGAGAGGGTTCTTTCATGAACGTGGTGGTACTCCCAATAAGTCGAGTTGTTGGGAGAGACTCGGTAATGGATCTCATACTACATATTAATACGAAATCTACTCATAAAAGTTTGAAGTAGGCATCAGACACTATCTGCTGCTTACGAATGGAGATTATTGGGATTCTAACAAAAGACAACTCATTCACAGTAGGCTTTGATATTACGTCATAAACCAACTGACCCCAATAATAAATTTTATACCACGCGCTAAGAGGTTTGGCCATTCTTTATCTGTCCCTTTCATGGATGGAAAAGATTCTCTCGTGGTAGATTGAGAGACAAGTTAAACCCTAATTTGACTCCCTTTTTCCAGATGGAAAAACACAACTGTCTCTGGGTGAGATATACAGATGGATATAGAAAGAAAAGAAAAGGGTGATCTCTGAAAAAGTTAAAGGAAAAGAAGAGGGGAAGGGAAGGGAGAATTGAAGTAGAGTGGATATGAAGTCGTTCCCTTATAGGAAGCTAGACAAGAACAAAAAGAAACCAAGAGAGGATAAAAAGGAATATATACAACTATATATGAGTAGCCTGCCTTAGCTACAAAGTATGTATTGCAGAGTTTGCATGACTTTCTTTATTGTTAAGTTTGTGTGACATAAGTATAGTAATTAGAGTAGGTAATTAGCTAGATAGGTCAGTTACTAGCTAACAGCACATTAATTAGTAGGTGAGTTTAGGTAGGTAAGTAAGGGTGATGATATTATGTATATAACAAAATATATATATATATATACCTTATCAGCACGTCTACTGTTTCTGAGCTCAGGGAGTAGCTGCTGCAATTTGGTAACAAGATCAAGGAGCTGGTCCTCTGAGATCCTCGAGCTCCCTGACTGCCTTGATCTCGACCTCCGGCTCGACATGCTTGTATATTATGCCTAACAAGAAGAAGAAAGATGGAAGAAAGCTGAGAGACTGGTAGATAGAGCAGTGGTCTTGAGAACTGACGATGACAAGAAGAAGAAGAAGAAGAAGAAGAAGAAGAAGGTTTAGGTAGTGGTGTGTAGGATGAAGAAGGAGAAAGACAAGTGCATGGGAGGAAGCAATTGGGGCTACTGCCCCCTCTTCTATTTAAATAGGGTTTTCCATCTGCAACTTCAAGGAGAGAGTAGGACACTTGACACTTCTCACTAGGACTCTCCTATTTTTTTACTTGGGCAAATAAAAGTGAAGAAGAAAACCCAAAAAATATGTATGAATAAAGAAAGAAGGAAAGAAAGAAAGGAAGAAAGGGGGGATTGAAAGAATCAAGTTTTCTAGAGATACGCCATGCCATGCTTTGCTTTGCTTACTTCCCTCTTCTCTCCATTTGCTTGGGACAAACAGTCGCAAACAAAAGGGATGGGAGGTGTGAGAGAGGAGAGAGATAAGAAACCAAGAACACACATATCGTTGTGCTTTGTTTTAGGAGCACACGGTGTGTGTCAGTCCATACCCGCAATACCATGTTATGTTCCCCCCTCCTTTTCCTCCTTTTTCTTAATACCCACATTTGGGTTTTAACTAAATTCTTAGGACGATAAAAAGAAATTTTTAAGGTTAACAATCACCCTTTTGCTGCTTTGCATATTGTTGTGGATTATTAACCTTCGAAATTTCTATAAAGTCACTTTTAGTGTGAGATGTTTTGTATTTGACGCTTATCTTCGTTAATTATTTGTTTAATCTCATAATGATGTGTGTACGTAGTATAATAGAGTGGTGTTTTACATGTACAGTGGATGGATGTGTGAGTGCGTCGAGAAAGGAGGAGATAACTTTTTTTTTTTTTTGTTGATAAGGGTGAGATATCTTACTGCTATTATATTCTAGTAAATATGTATAAGCTAATAAATCTAATAGATATGAGATGTGTAAATGTGTTGACTATCAATGAAAGTAACAAATAGTTATTTCACTATAAACCATAATATTTAAAATTTTATTAAAAAACTAAACTTCTAACTTAACGATTTTACAATAAGAATGTAACTTTTGGATGTTGGGTTTTGAGACCCATGAAATTCGTTTTGTTGATTTCCCTGTGTAGAACATAAGTGTAGAGTTAGAAGCAACACAGTACGGATGGTCTTTAGATAACTTTAACTAATGAATACATTTGAACTTTTGAAACATAATTAAGGAGAAGTGATAAGGTGAAAATTTCAAAATCACATAACCTACAAACATCATATTTTATCACCATTGATACAAATCATATCATCCCTGCAATTAATGATTCATATCATAAGTGGTAAGACGCGAGATTTATACAAAAAATTATCGTAACCTATCACATAATTAAGTAGTGCGAGTTCAATAGAAATCGCATATGTTTTCTTATTCTATGTTTCTCTTCTCTCGGTTTCTATAAAAGCAGAAATGCTTGGTTGCTTTTCTTGGTTTTGACCTTTTCATTCCCCTCGGTTCTACTTCTTTTTCTGTTCTTTATGTTTCTAGTTTCCAGCATTAACCCTTATTATCCAACAGGGATCGATCGGTAATACATTTAGTCATTTACATTCAAATGAAATGATTAAAAATGAATATATATATATTCTTTTGCTTCTCTCTTATTATTATTATTATTATTTTTTTCCTTTTTGTTGTCAAAGGCAGACCTTCTCTCTTCTTGTTTCTCAATGCATTCCTACTTAAAAAAAAATAGTATATAGTTGGTTACTATTTATAACGGTATCAGAAATTACACTAAAAAAGTCATTGATGATAAGATATATTAAAATCGTAATTTAATTGTGATACCGCCTTTATCTACCACTAAAACCACTTATCATTTTGAATTCTTTATCCAGTATTTCTGATTCGGCCGACTCGATAAAATTTCCCTATATACATATTATAAAACTAGTACATGATCAACCGCGTACAAAAACCGATTAGTAATAGTCATTATTTACCATTTTGTATTTGAGATGATCATTTCTCTTTCTTTTTAATATTTTCTGGAGAGAAGAGGGTGATCGAGTAGTTGACCGGTCAAAAGGGTGGGTTGAAGAGGCCGGGGCTTTAAAAGACCATGTTCCTTGCTACCAAAGGGACGCACATCATCACACGTGGCACCTCGGAGGCGTAAACGTTACACCGACCCGGTTCCCCGGCTCCCCCATTTCTATTTGTTTTTTTTTTTTCCAAACAATCAAATATCAATCAATCGAATTATTAATTATTATAAACGTACGGCCTTGTGTCGTCGTCGGCGAGGGAAATCGGAATGGCGAGCCAGAAAGCTAGAATAGATGGTGTAGTTTCGAGTTTCAGGTGAGGTCATTGGCGGTTACACTGGAGTCAATTCGGTTATGGTCTTTGTGTATATAGCTAGCTTCATTCCATACGTTTACCCTCCTTGGATTACACTTGTAAATATTATATATAGGTTCTTAATTAACCGATGCATGAAAAGCTCTATTGGATGTTGCAGCTTTCTATAGGCCTCTTAGAAAAGCATGGAAGCAAAAGAGACTGATCAAGTGGTGCAACTGATCCTCCACCACCCCAGAATAAAAGGGAGGATGATCTCACCGTTCTTTACTTATCGAGAGTACTTGTTCGTTTCAATATTGGAAATTTCAATTATGAAAAACAAAATCTGGTGATTTTGATGAGGATTTGAATTCGAGAATTTTTGGTCAAATCGTACTTATGATATCATGTCATAATTCGACTTCAATTGACAATATTGAAACTGTTGGTATAGAGGCTCAAATTAACATTAATCTTGTATCTCGCTTTCATACATAGCGTATGGAAAGAAGACCTCCATCGTTTTTCTAATAAGGTCATCCTGTGTTAGACCCGATTTTTATGAGTGTTTTTTCGTTTCAAAAAATGAAACACAATCAAAACTCCTTTTATAAGTTAGAGTTTTACAAAAACTAATAAGAAGTATTGTTCTGCAAAAATCTGTTTTGAAAATACAAGATTTTACATACAGTGATTTTCAATTTGTTCCCTTAAAATATAGTTTTCTTTTATCTATATTATTTTAAATCTAAGAAAAATTAGAAAATGATATTTTTTACATAGAAAAATTCTACAAGATATTTTTTCTATTTTCCTGATAATATTTTAAAAAAATATTTTTTTAGTGATTTTATAAGAAATCGATTTGCTAGTTTATCAGCCAAATACAAAGTGAAAGATAAGTTTGTAAGAGCCTCAATTTATTTTGCAAAACTAAACTAACCCATATGTAGCTAAAAAACCGTTGTTTTGTGGCTAATAATTAGTTAATTACAAAGAAGAAGATAGAATCTTATTAACGTTTTGAGAGGGAGATGCGATCTGATCGTCCTATACTAACTCCTACGTAGCAAGCAGATCTGATCATAATTAGATAGTCGGTACTAACTGATAAAATATACCTAATATCCTTCCCAAATTAATAAGAATATTATTATAATTAACTATATATTCTTTGATTAGGGAGAGCACACACACTAGCTAGCTAGCTAATTAATTTGGGTGGTTGGCAACTGTGTACTATGATCTTATTAGATTGCCCCCCACACACGACATATGCCTCAGTAACCCACTTGCTAGCTCATGACTATTATTGCTGCTAATTAATTGATTAAGTCTTGGTGTCAACGTACTAACATATTCCCTACCGTTTCATGATTAACATTAATATTACATTTATCATCAACTTGCTGCATCAGAAAAGATGCCCTTCCAACAAAGTTGTCTCACTTTGAATATACTCATTATAATGCATAGAAGTAATTAAGAGGATCAAGGAGCTAGTTGGAACCCAAATTAATGATGGCAATTTGACGGTATTGTCCAACTTGATTCGTGTTTGGGGAGGTAATAATACCCAACTCGCATGCAGTAGCACAGAGCGGGGCATGGTAACTACTTTCGATATATCTGCCTCGCTCATTTTCGTCTCGTTAATTCTTGAACCCGTCCTACTTCGATTTGTCTTAATATTTCTCTTATTTTGACTTATCTTAACTTATATGCTTCAAATAATATATATGAATGAGTCGACCTATCGCGACCCGTACCCGTGCGGCTGTTACCCGACCTAATCCGCATTAGGTACGGAACGGATATGGATATGGAGTGGTAACTGTCCCACCCCGTTGCCATCACTGACCCAAACAACTAAGGTGTTGGGCTTGCTTGATAAAAATTCAATGTCACGCTACGTACAAGAGAAGGAAAAAACAACCAGTGTATGCATATTTGTCTCAACTCGCACACTTGGTAACTGCTTAATCAAGAACCTAGCGTTTGAAGAGGTATAAACATGTATGCTTAGCTTATATCGTCCTATTCGTTCAACGGTCGTGGCAGCCAGTAAAAGAATCTAGAACAGTGGCAATAGTACTAGTTGCTATGCTATGCTATGCTAGGCTAGCTAGTGGATCTTTCTTGAACACGTGCCGATGAGGCGGTGCTGAGATTTGAGTGACTTGGATGCATATTTTAAGCCATCATCGTACTCTGGATCGAGATAGGTAGCGCCGGCCAGCTAGCAATCAGCTGATGGTGACGATCGAACACATGATATTCTACAAGCTTCCCTTCGAAAATCTGTCTGTATATAATGCTTAGTTTTTTTTTTTTTTTATATTCGTACTTTTGCATGGTTGGGAAAGGCCCCACTTAATTAAGAAATAATGAGTGTTTAATTATGGTCCTCAAAGCTTTCCAAAACGGGCTGTGGTTAGAAAAGGAAAGGCTAATGATTGCTGGTTTCTTTGGGAAACAGCGAGATAGATATATAGATATTCGGTAATTTCCCAATGGCATGCATCGGTCGATCCTTTGGCAGGTAGTTTTATATGTGGGAAGTAGACGTAAGGATTGTCTTGACCGCAAATAGGAGAAAAAGTGTTGGAGATTTGGTTTGAACGATTCCCAGCCGCCCAAGAGTATATTATGTAGCTAGCTATAGCTCATAATGCTCGCCACATGCATTTGGTGATGATGATGATGATGAGTTCGAGTCTTCCATTTCCATATATGCTGTTGCCTGGGAAATTGTTTCGAGCTTACCAACTTTTGGCCCGATGTGCCTTCAAGTTGTACGAGTAGTACTCAACTTGCATTTTTATGCTTAGCTTGTGAATATTATTAATCAAAGAACCCTCTACGTCGGTCAAGTAACTAAGAGAGCTTGGCTTGGTGGCGAAGTCACGATTCAAAGACAAAGGCGAGGGATGGAAAAGAAGCTATAAAGTATAAAGCATGGTGGCAAGAGTAAGATGGAACGTGTTAGTTTTTGAAGAAGGGGAGCTGATAATTTACCATTCTCGCACTTTCAGCTTTCTTAACATATCTAAAAAAAGTATTATAATTAACCTAAAACGATGACTTGCCCCTCTCCACCTTGCCACATTTTTACAGTTAGAGAAGCTCTAAGTGGTTTGGACCTATTGTGTCTTTTTTAGATTCCCCTTACTTCATTTTTTATGGGGGTGGCATGTCTCATGTTCATATTTAGCCAAATTTTCATGCTTATCATCAATATAGTCAAAATCGTGATTTAAAGTTTAAAAACTTACGCTTTTACACTTTTACGTCACCAAAATGCATCTAACACGTTCCATGCTTATCATTCATA